AAGGGCTTTATGACAAACGCGACAGCGACTACAAAAATCTCGATAAGAGGGAGTTGTTATGGAGAGGAATTGCAGATCAAATAGGATTCGATGTGTACCGGGGTATTTCTGTTTTTCATTAGAAGCGCCATCTAAAGTCAGGGAGTGAATTTGCACGTACACTCGGCTCATCGCCAGCGAAAATCGCTTGGGTATGAACACAAAAGACGCGTCGAAACACGTCGGCGATAATCGTCCCGGTGTGTACGAGGCTTAAAAGTCTGTGTCTCGCGCCAAATGCATGAGAGTTGGCATTAGGGCTGCTCTATTATGACAAAAATCATAATCACGATTATTTAACATGATTATTAGTGGGCCATATGACCAAAACTTTATATGAGTGATTTATTTAAAGATAGTGATACATATCAAATATATATTTCCTGTAAATAAGGTTGCTATGACATCTACATTAATGTCACAATTCTCACTACCACAGCAGAATACTAGAACTAACTGATATTAGTTAAAAACAACAACAACAAAAAAGGTCCTTAAAATTATTGAAATTAATTAAACGGCCAGTAATAAAAAAAGCAAAGGAATGCAATAGAATAAAAAATATACAAATGAAACCAACTGTGCTTTAAGTTTTTTTTTAATGCAAGTTTAAAGTATTCAGTTAACAGCCTACTACAGAAATGAATAATCAAATGTAAAATAAAACAGCATAGTCTTCACTGTAATAATTAAACTTCCTTTGTTTCTTATTAAAGCTACAAAAGTCCTTCAGTCGAGAGCAGTGAGTGATTTAGTCTTTGTCTTTTGTTGTTTGATTAACTTCATTCTCAACTCCTTACGTTCATTTATTACATAACCGACGAGGGTTTACGTGAATAATCACTAAGCACCGCATTTTGACACATTTTTGCGTGTAAAAGATGACTTTACGTGTCGGTGTTGTGTTCCGTCTCTGAGCGAACGCACAGAAATCCTCCCGAGGAGCAGCGCAAGTTCTCTTTCACGCTTTTAAAAACATGAATAAATCAAATCAACTTAAATAAATCAAGCACGTCCCATTTTGCAATAGTCTCGCTGATTTGCACGTGAAACCGCTGGAAAGGGGCGCAATAATCGTTTGTATTTTCATAACCGTTGGAGGCCGAAACCGAAACTGAATGTGGATTAATTGGCTTGTGTAGAATCGCCGCTCAGCTCCCTGTTGTTGTGTGTTCTGGCAGCGACGGAGGAGCTGAACCGGCTGGTGTCGGAGGCCTTCCTGAGCGTCTTCGTCCGGAGCGTGGGGCACTTCTCGCAGCACGTCAGGAGGAGCGCGAGCTCGCGCCGGTTCCACAAGAAGAGCTTCCTGAAGGCCGTGGAGCACAGGTCGCACCTGAACTTCGTCAAGCTCTTCATCCAGACGCAGATGTTCGATCTGTTCATTCAGGAAGAGGAAGCGCAGCCCAACCCTAACGGTACAAACACACACTCCTCATAAAAACAGCTAATCCGTTTACGAAGCTCAAACTAACGCTTCCAGTCAGAACTGTCTGGAGAACCTCTTGAGCGTAAGAGGTTCCTCAAAGGTTCTTCAAACACATCTATGCAGCTTTTTTTCTTTTCTTTATGGAACCTAAATGAAGACTCTTTTGACTGAAATCATGTGTTTTTAGGCTACATCATCTCAGCTAACAGGGAACGTTCTCTGAACTTTGGCTAACGTTCTGGCGACGTTATGAACATATGTGACCCTGGACCACAAAACCAGTCATAAGTGTAAATGTTTTGAAATTGAAATTGATTTATACATGAAAGCTGAATAAATAGGCTTTCCATTGATGTATGGTTTGTTAGGATAGGACAATATTTGAAAATCTGGAATCTGAGGGTGCAAAAAAATCTAAATATTGAGAAAATCATCTTTAAAGTTGTCCAAATGAAGTTCTTAGCAATGCATATTACTAATCAAACATTAAGTTCTGATATATTTACAGTAGGAGATTTACAAAATATCTTCATGAAACATGATCTTTACTTAATATCCTAATGATTTTTGGCATAAAAGAAAAATTGATAATTTTGACCCATACAATGTATTGTTGGCTATTGCTACAAATATACCCCAGCGACTTAACACTGCTTTTGTGCTCCAGGGTCACCTATGTTCTTCCAGTAATGTAAATTAAAATGTTTAATAATGCTCTTTTAAAAATGTTAAATGGGTCTTTAACAATGTTCTCAAAACGTTAGCGAAAAATGTTATCTGACTTGTTTCAGAACGTTCAGAGAACATTCGAAAGTAAAATAACATATAACGTAAGTAACGATGTTTGCAAAATGATAAAATGGAATGTTCGCTTAACGTTCGTATAACCAACCGTTTTTAAAACGTTTAAAAAACTGGACATTTTTCAACATTCCGAAATAGTTTTTTCTTACTGGAAAAGTTAGCAAAACATTCTTAAAACATTTATGTTAGCTAACATGTTCTTTAAATGACATTTTATTTAAATACTCGAGACTAATAGCGTTTTAACGGAAGAATATGTTTTAGAACAGCCTTTTTAACGCTACATTTTCAGTAATTATAAAGTTGTTCAATTTATGAAGCTTGTTTAAAAATAAAGGTAATTGCTACTTTTTTTTGTATCTTCTCTCGCAATTCTGTTTATATGTATATATATCGCAATTCTGACTTTTTTTTTTGTAATTCAAATTTTCGAGATATCAAGTCAGAATTGCAAGCTATATACTCGCAATTGTGAAAAAAAGTCAGAATTGTGAGATTAAAAATCGTAATTACCTTTTTCATTTATTCAGCTGTGGAAAAAAAAAAAAAAAGGAAAACAGAATTGTGAGACGTATACTCAGAATTCTGAAGAAAAAAAAAACGTCAGAATTGCATTATATTTTGCAATCTTAGGACAAAAATTTTTCTTTTTACTATCCTGCTTATATATTTTTTGCGATGCATTTTTATGTGTTAAAATTAGTGCTGTCAAGCGATTAATCGCATACAAAATAAAAGTTTTTGTTTACATAATATATGAGTGTATACTGTGTATATTTATTATGTATATATAAATACAAACACATGCATGTATATATTTAAGAAAAATTTTATGTTTATATATTAAATATATTTATATATGTAAAATATAAGAATATAAATATATAAATGTATATACATACAAAATATATACATGTATGTGAGTGTATTTATATATACATAATAAATATACATAGTACACATACATATAGTATGTAAACAAACACTTTGATTTTGGATGCGATTAATCGTTTGACAGCACTAGTTAAAAATCAAGACTTAATATTGGTTATGTTAGCAGCAGGTAAAACAAAAGTTTTCAATAAATGATATACAGAGAGTGAGCAAAGAATGTTCCCCATGAAACACTTTCATTATCATCAATTCAGTCAGCAAGCGCATGCACTGAAACCCCAGTGATTTCTGCTGTATTATTTGTATTTCTGATCATAATCTGGTTCTCCTGTAGCGTTCTTTCACAGGAAGGTGTCGGAGTATCACGAGAGGAAGAAGAAGGAGAAGACGAAGGCCGGATGGGTGCGAGGTGTGGTGGTTTAGGATGTCTTCACGTTCGTTCAGTGTTACGCTCCTCTCAGCCTTTCCTTAATAACATACTTCAAACATTCCGTCAGTATTTAATGCTGTTTATTTGTACACTGTTTTAACATAATAAAATATAAAGTGAATTGATACATGTTAGTTTGAGAGTTCCGTAAGTGATTTGAAACAGGAACACGTCCAGCTCATATTTGACCTTACTAAAGCTAAAATTTGAATTATACAGTGTTAGTGAGATTTTCATTATTGTGGCTGTTTAATGTTTGTGTATTCCTCATTTTCAGTGGCGATTCTCATTTAGTGTCATTTTTGTAGTATTGCAGTCATTACAATAAACATTTTATTTAAATCATTTAAAAATAATTTTATGGATTTTAATTCATATTATTTTTTAAATGGGGATTTTATTGTATTTTTTCCTCATGAAATAAGAGCCAGAAATGTTCCTTTTGCATAAAACTCACCCACCAATAACCAACTTTAATAACGTAATCAGAGAAGTAATTCCTTTTTACAGTTGTATAAAACAATGCATATTTCTAGAACAAACGAGAAGACCATAAAACTTGTCCAACATGTTTACAACATAAAACAAACCAAGAAGTGTAACATACCTGGGGGGCCTGTTCCATAAAACAAGTTTACACAAATAAGCCAGGCTTATTTCAGTTAGCTCGACTTATTTAGATCCAAATCAACTGACAGTAAGTCAGACTAACTGAAATAAACCTGGGGCCTGTTCCATAAAACAAGTTTACACGAATAAGCCAGGCTTATTTCAGTTAGCCCGACTTATTTAGATCCAAATCAACTGACAGTAAGTCAGACTAACTGAAATAAACCTGGGGCCTGTTCCATAAAACAAGTTTACACGAATAAGCCTGGCTTATTTCAGTTAGCCCGACTTATTTAGATCCAAATCAACTGACAATAAGTCAGACTAACTGAAATAAACCTGGGGCCTGTTCCATAAAACAAGTTTACACAAATAAGCCAGGCTTATTTCAGTTAGCTCGACTTATTTAGATCCAAATCAACTGACAGTAAGTCAGACTAACTGAAATAAACCTGGGGCCTGTTCCATAAAACAAGTTTACACGAATAAGCCAGGCTTATTTCAGTTAGCCCGACTTATTTAGATCCAAATCAACTGACAATAAGTCAGACTAACTGAAATAAACCAGGGGCCTGTTCCATAAAACAAGTTTACACAAATTAGCCAGGCTTATTTCAGTTAGCCCGACTTATTTAGAACCAAATCAACTGACAATAAGTCAGACTAACTTAAATAAACCTGGCTTATTTAGTAAACTTGTTTCATGAAACAGGCCCCTTCTGTATTAGATTAATAAACGCAATAGTTAGAGCATAATTTCAGACGGTTGTGTGAATGTTGTACAAACGTTGTCTAAATGTTAGTATGAAGTTTCCAGAGCTTGGAGTGCTTCTGCTGGAGCCTGGCAGTCTCTGCGCCTCGTCTGGAGCGTCTTCTCCTCGTCAGATGCTGCCGGCGAGCAGCGGAGACGTCTCCGAGGGCCGGGAGTGGTGCGAATCGTACAGGTGTTCGCTCTGGAGCTGCGCCTCCGCTCGCAGGTTGATCTTCTGCAGACAGAAACACACACGAGTGTGAGACGCGCAGAGCTGGGTCACTGATTGCATGTGATCTGGATTACGCGATCGGATTCCAAAAATTAAGTACTTGTAATTAGATTAAATTACATTTTAACTCTTTCCCCGCTAGCGTTTTTGAAAAAAGTTGCCAGCCACTGCTTTTGCTGATTTTTACTAATATTTCATGGCCCCCAGAATATTTTGTTGCATGAATATCTGAACATGCAATACATCAAAATAATGATCAGACCCTCTACTTTCAAACAAAAAGAATCAGTTTTATTATTGCTTTTTTATCAACGCTTGAGTGTAGGTAGGTTTCATAAAAAAGCAAAATCGCATTTTTATCAAATACTACACCTGGATCATATTCAGTAATATTATCAAAGCAAAGATGCAGTAGATGGCTTCCACCAGCACTCCCAAAGCTTTACCACTTTCTGGATCCACATTTCACTCTGTAACATCAGGCAGTTTTCATTTATATGCTGTTAGTTATATGCATTATTTTTCATATGCACATGCATACATAAGAGATCGCTCGTTTCTGAGTCTTTCTGGGGCCTGTTCCATAAAACAAGTTTACCAAACAAGTCAGGTTTATTTCAGTTAGTCTGACTTATTGTCAGCTGATTTGGTTCTAAATAAGTCGGGCTAACTGAAGTAAGCCTAGCTTATTCGTGTAAACTTGTTTTATGGAACAGGCCCCAGGTTTATTTCAGTTAGTCTGACTTATTGTCAGTTGATTTGGTTCTAAATAAGTCGGGCTAACTGAAGTAAGCCTGGCTTATTCGTGTAAACTTGTTTTATGGAACAGGCCCCAGGTCTGTGTTTTTGATCGGCACTTTCTAGACTCATTCAGGAGATGTGTAATAGCGCCCCCTAGCGTATAACAGAGAAAACACGGAAACTTTCGTGTTTGGCGGGGAAAGTGTTAAAATACTCGTAATCAGACTACAGTTACTTTTTTTACGGATTACATCATTACATATAATTGCACACAAATGCAATGAATCATCCATAATTTATAGATTCTCCCTAATTCCTCTTTTTCATCTTTTAAATGCTCCTTTCTAAAATAGCCTACAGTTTATATACACTCAGAAAGTCTCCAGTTTTGTGGACATTCACTCAGAGATCAGACATTAGTCAGGTTTACACAGCATTTGAGCACTGGATTTACAAAAATCATTTCAGGTTTAAGAAGTGTTTCAACATCGCATCAACTACTGATGAGCACATTCATTTTTATTTGCATTATCACTCTGTAGCTTATTTAACCATGTGTTTCTATGTCTTTGGAAGGCTTTTTGTCTTTCAGACACATTAAAATGCACAAACGCACAAACTTTTTTTCTCATCTGATCCTCTTTCACCTAATATATTTACTTGAAATACTCGTGAGATTTTAAAATTAATATTTTAATTATTAAGCATCACATTTACATGTTCACTGGTTCTCCGACGTTGGTTATGGTTACATGACATGCAGGTAAACAAAAAATATTTCATTTTCTTTACGTTTTTTACCATTTTGATTGATTTTAATGTCACATTTTTATGATTTATGTAATTATTCGCTTTTCATTAAACTCGCAAACCCCCTGCAGTTCCTTCACAAACCTTGATGTAATGTAATGTTTAATAACAACAAATGGAATATATTTTTTCACTCTTTGTATTTTTATATCAATATGGTACAAGATCATCCTATTTAAGTCAGTGTGAAAACAAGACAGCTCAAAAGTAATCCAAAAGTAGTGTGTAATGTAATGGATTACGTTACTGACTACAATTTTGATCATGTAATCTGGAATCGGTAATGGATTACAATTTGTAAGTAATCTACCCAGACACGCTCGACAGGTTTCTACCATCCGATGAGAGACGCTTTACCTTGAAGTCTCGTATGTAGGTGAGGAAGAAGCTGATGAAGGACAGAGCGAGAGACCATTCGGAGATGGTGCTGACGATGTGCGGCGTGAAACCCTGAAGAAGAAAAAACAGCGCAATCAGAGACTCACTCGACACGCAATCCTTGCAGTGAAATAACACACTCACCGGTTCTCCAGGCGTCCAGTGCAGCTTCTGGTTGACCTCGGTTCCTGACAGAGTGCTGTACATGATGACCGACGACACGAACACTGAGCGAATCAAGGAAGCAACCGACAACGCTCAACGCTAAACCCTGTTTAAAGGGATAGCTCACCCAAAAATGAAAATTCTGTCATTAATTACTCACCCTCGTGTCGTTCCAAACCCGCAAGACCTTCGTTTTTGGGTGAACTATCGTGTTAAAGGATACTGCTGATGATGCTGGCGAAGGTCCAGACGCAGACGCTCAGCCGCGCCCAGAACATGGTTTTGCTGTGGATGTGCGGCTGCATGCGGTGCGACAGCAGCGTCTGGACCAGGATGTACAGAGCGCCCACGCCGAACGTCAGCATGGCGCCCACCAGATGCATCGCGAACAGAGTGGTTTTCTGGGAAAGACACGGCACACACTTAATGTTCGGAGCGAAGATTTGGTGCAATAAACTTTTTAATTGGAATGAATGGCTGTAAATCGGTCTGTTTAGACCGACACAAATATTCGCATGCGACAACGCAACTTTTTTGTACACTGGTGAAGCGAAAAATCCAGTGCAAAAAAACTTTTATTCACATGCCAACAATGCAAATTTTGTTTGTGCGTTGGTCTGAACAGACAAATCGAATGCAAAAATTAGACAAAACTTTCATGCCAACATTTGGTGCGAAAATTCTGTGCGATAAACAGTTAAATTTGAACGAAGAATTATAATGGTGAAGAATATTCGCATGCCACCAATGCGACAATGCAATGTTTTTTTTGCACACTGGTCTGAACAGATAAATTGAATGTGAAAACTGGACCAAATCTTAATGCGAAAAGTCACTGAAATAAACATTTTCATTTGAACGAATTTGTTAAGACTGCATTGTCGCATTGATGGGGTATGAATGTTTGTCGGTGTTTTTTTGTTTCGCATTGGTCCAAACAGAGAAATTGAATGTGAAAATCAGACTAAATCTTCGTGTGAAAATTTGGTGCATAAACATTTTAATTTGAACGGACTGCTGTCGAGTCTGTTCAGACCAACACGAATATTCACATGCCAACAATGCAACTGTTTTTATGCATTGGTATGAATAGATAAATCGAATGAGAAAATTGGACTGAAACTTAATGCAAAAACTCAGTGCAATAAACATTTTGATTTGATTGAACACCTGAAAATCTGTCTGTTTAGACCAACGCAAATATTTGCATGCCGTCAATGCGACAATGCAACTTTTTTCACACTGGTCCGAACCGACAAATTGAATGCAAAAATCGGACAGAATTTTCATGCAAATCTTTGTGCGAAAATTCAGTGTGCTAAACATTCCAATGCAACAGTGCAACATTTTTTGCGCATTGGTCCGAACAGACAAATCACATGCAAAAATGGGCTGAACCAATAAGATATGCGCTTTTTTGTCATGTGCTCTTTTATTTGGTGTTGTTTGATAAAGAACATAGCAAATAAAAAATCATAATAAAAACATGTTTTTGCATTTTTTTTACCCAAACATAATGTGAAAATCGGAGCAAATTTTCATGCCGAACATTCGTTCTGGGAACAGGCAAACATTTGGTGCAAGAATTCGGTACAACATTTTTTTTTTAATTTGAACTAACGTCTGTTAATGCGTCAACACAAACATTTGCATGCATCAATGCGACAGATTGCAAATCGACAAATCGGACCTAATTTTCATTCCGAACACACGTTTCAGTGTGAACAGGTTTTTACGCTCCGTGTACATACCTGGAAGTTTGCGACGACGCACATGCCGAACGAACTTCCGCAGCCCAGAACGAACCCCATCAGATTGAGGCAGTTCAGACGAGTGTCGTTCACGTCCACGAGCGCATGAAGCTGCTTATAGCGCACGTACATAGTAGCGACACCTGCAGGAGACACGCAGCATTACATCACTGAAACGGGGTTAAAGGCCACGCCCTACCACTTCATAACATTGTGTCTTGATGCAACACACCACCCCCTTCCCGTACTGTTCGCATGTTAGCATTAGCATACAGTCAAACCAAAAGTTATTCAAACACCAGACGTAATTTTTTATATTTTTTTTAATGGTTTAGTTTCGTAATCATATTTTCGTGTCCGTGTAAAGCTAGGGGTCATAATTAAGGTCAGTGTGAGGTCAGAGGTCATTCAGTACCTAAAAACGCAGACACATTCAGCATGAGTCCAAACACGCATCTCTCCGGTGCGACCGTCCCCGTGTCACTGTAAGTGCAAAACGAAGGTCACTCAGAGGTCAGAGGTCACGCCGTCACATGATGACACCGGTCTGTGCTCACCTGATGTAGGGCACCAGCGGGTCCACGTGTCTCAGGATGACGGCCGTGATGTAAGCGAAGATGAAGGTGGCGGCGGTCCAGATGACCAGCGCCACGGGCAAGACGCACAAACCCTCCTGAAACCACCACATGCCTAAAACGCGCCTAAAACACGCCAAATATTACCAGTCAGCCGCGCTTCCTCTTCTCAGAGCATCATGGGTGAGTTTCTGCTTTTCACTTCTGCTGTGAGAGCGTAACCTTCACAAAATGTTAATAAAACCATTCACAAACTGAAACTAGAGAAAAGAGTCAAATAAAAAAGCACCAGGGTTTTCAGCTTGATAAAACCATTAGATATGGACCCAGCTAATAGGGAACGTTCTCAGAACATTCTGGTATGTTCTCTCAATGTTATGAGCACATTCTTCTAGTAACATTATCTGGGGCCTGTTCCATAAAACAAGTTTACACAAATAAGCCAGGCTTATTTCAGTTAGCCCGACTTATTTAGAACCAAATCAACTGACAATAAGTCAGACTAACTGAAATAAACCTGGCTTATTTGTGTAAACTTGTTTTATGGAACAGCCCCCTGGGGGCCAGTTGCATAAACTTAGCTACTAAGTTAAGACTTTGTCTTAAGAACTAGTTTGACCAACTAGAAGTTGCCAAGGGGACCAAGACCAATCTACCTTTTCATAACTGAATTAAAAAAGTTACGACCAGTCTTGAAGAAAAAAAGTTAGATGACTAACTTTTTAAGACTAGTCTAAACAGTTTATGCAACTGGCCCCCAGTGGTCTTTAATAATGTTCTCAAAACATTAGCACAAAAACATTATTTATACACTTTTTTCATACGTTACTTTCCTGAACGAACGAGATCACTTTTTAAATGTTACTATTGTTTCAGAACGGTTGCCAAGGGGAAATCAGTCCTAGTTTTCCAATACAAATAAGACCAATCTACCTTTTCATAACCGAATTAAAGTTACGACCAGTCTTGAAGAAAAAAAATTAGATGACTAACTTTTTAAGACTAGTCTAAACAGTTTATGGAACTGGCCCTCCAGTGGTCTTTAATAATGTTCTCAAAACATTAGCACAAAAACATTATTTATACACTTTTTTCATACGTTACTTTCCTGAACGTTTCAGATCACTTTTTAAATGTTACTATTGTTTCAGAACGTTCAGAGAACATTCAGACGTAACGTTACATTCCCGTAATGTTTGCACAATATGGACTATTTATTTAACGTTTGAATAACCAATTAAAAAAAAGTTTTTTTTTTTTTTAAAGTACGTTTTGAACGTTTGGCGGACATTCATAAATAGCGTTTCCATAACGTTGTGGGAACGTTAGCGAAACGTTCTTGTATTTTTGATAGCTTGAATATCAGTGACCGAGTAACGTTACCATGGTATTTGCATTGTAAGGTTATTTTATAATGGTACGTGCTTAAATTGTACAAGTATTTTGAGAGATTTTAAGAATAAACAATAAAAGCGGAATTCAATCACATAAAGCAACAGATTTCTTTAGTTTCACTTTCTATTCCAAACAAAGAAAATTTGATTTTAAAGCGCATGTTATGTTGTATTATTGCTTTTGTCTTTGCTTCTGTCAAATCTGTATGTGATGATAAAGTCAGATTTAAAAATAATGTTTTTATGTCAGTGAGGAAAAGCTTAACGCTACCTGTCAATCAAACAGACGATCGTCCCTCAGTCTAAACAGGCATTTTAAATCTCCACAGAATGACTCTTTCATTCTTTAATTTTTGTATATCCCCTCAAATTTCGGATTTAGTTCATTTTAAGTGCTGTTTATCTTCAGTGTCTCGCGCATCAACTCTCGCCGCTCATTTCCGCCCAAACTCACGAGACCCGCGAGAAAAACCCGGATGTGGAGCTGCTCGGCGGGTCGCCAGCGCGGGAAAAATCCCCCTCAGCGCGATAATACGCTAATACCCACAGAGACATTTCGATTTATTTAAATGTTCATGCGATCTTTCGGTTTTATTTGACTATTTAAAAGTGAACATAGGAAAATATAACTTAATTTGTCATTTCAAGTACATAAACAAAAACCTTGCTCTGTCTTTTCTTTATTCAAAGTTGATCTACGAGTACATGGAAACTTCATATCATTGAAGTGAATGTTCAGTTTATCAGTATATATTGTAATAAATATTTGAGAAATGATTGTTTTATTCGATTGTATTAGACTATAAAGAGTGATAGTCAATGTAAAAAGAGCAAAAAACAGCAGAACAACTAAGTCAAATATACAATATTCATATACAGGTGCATCTCAATAAATTAGAATGTCGTGGAAAAAGTTCGTTTATTTCAGTAATTCAACTCAAATTGTGAAACTCGTGTATTAAATAAATTCAATGCACACAGACTGAAGTAGTTTAAGTCTTTGGTTCTTTTAATTGTGATGATTTTGGCTCACATTTAACAAAAACCCACCAATTCACTATCTCAACAAATTAGAATACTTCATAAGACCAACAAAAAAAAACATTTTTAGTGAATTGTTAGCCTTCTGGAAAGCCAAAATCATCACAATTAAAAGAACCAAAGACTTAAACTACTTCTGTCTGTGTGCATTGAACTTATTTAATACACGAGTTTCACAATTTGAGTTGAATTACTGAAATAAATGAACTTTTCCACGACATTGTATTTTATTGAGATGCACCTGTATATTGTAATGATACTGTAAAGATCCTATTACATTCAGCTGTATTTTTGTAAGTTTGTGGCCTATTTGTACAATACATGTTCAATAAGCTTTGGGTAAGTAAATTTTTGCTGAAGTACTTAAAAACAAAACAAACAAACAAACAAACAAAAACACCAGTTATCATAAATATAGCAATCTACCTGTATATTGCAATGATACTGTAAAGATCCTATTACATTCAGCTGTATTTTTGTAAGTTTGTGGCCTATTTGTACAATACATGTTCAATAAGCTTTGGGTAAGTAAATTTTTGCTGAAGTACTTAAAAACAAAACAAACAAACAAAAACACCAGTTATCATAAATATAGCAATCTTTATTTCACAGGTGCTTTTATTAAAAAAATCAGAGCAATGTTACAATCAAACCAAGAGTTTGTTACGAGTCAGAAACAGGCGGTTTTTACATCACTGAAAATATTGACTGAGTGCGTATGTCATGACAGAAAAAACAAACAAACAAAGATATAATCGGACGTTTCCATCCGCGAGATTTAATTAGCGCTTAAATCTGCCGTCTCTTGTTAAAGTGGAGAAACTCCCAGAAAGGATTTGGCAACAAGCGACGTCTAACGAAACGAATCAAAGCTTATGATTAAGTGTGAACAGACAAACGTACGAATACGATACGATATGGATCCAAGATATGGAAGAACAGCAGACGATGAAGCGGTAAAACAGAAATTCATAAAGTGGAAATCAACTATTAGAGCTCCTCGCCGAAGTTTAATCTGCGAATAAAAGATCGTTAATAACATCAATTGCACACACTTCTCAAAAGTCATTTCAACTTGTTTTCTGGGTGGCAGCATCGAGCTATTTCTACAAACTACGATTTATTACATCTTTATTTATTTGTATATTATATGAATCGCCTGAGAGGGATGTTTAGAAATAAAGAATTCGGGAAAATAAGCAAAACGGCATGCAAATGTCAAAACTTTATATATATTTAAGGCAACCGTTAACAGATCGATTCACTAGAGATACTTTGGGAATAAACGTCATCAGTAATGAACTTTAGAGAACATTAGAAGAAAATTCAACGTACAACTTCAGCTCAAAATCTGGTGCAAACATAAGCAAATTATTCAGGAAGTTGGCGACGCCGCAGGAAAGACAAAGAAGACACCTTTTTAAGTGTGTTAAAATGTCTTCGAACTTTCTGAGACGAAATACTTAAGAAGAAATAAACAAGAAATTAAATTTAGAAGCGTATTTTAGGACTACTATTATTTCTACGATGATTGGCATTTTTGATTTTAACGTCTGAAGATTCCAGACATAATGAAGCAAAGTAAAACGGGGTGAATCTCAACAAATTTGTCATATTTCAGCCCTAAATCAAAATAAATAAACAAGAAATTATATTTAGAAGCGCATTTTAGGACTACTATTATTTCTACGACGATTGCCATTTTTGATTTTAACGTCTGAAGATTCCAGACATAATGAAGCAAAGTAAAACAGGGTGAGTCTCAACAAATTTGTCATATTTCAACCCTAAATCAAAAAAAATAAACAAGAAATTATATTTAGAAGCATATTTTAGGACTACTATTATTTCTACGACGATTGCCATTTTTGATTTTAACGTCTGAAGATTTCAGACATAATGAAGCAAAGTAAAACAGGGTGAATCTCAACAAATTTGTCATATTTCAGCCCTAAATCAAAAGAAATAAACAAGAAATTGTATTTCGAAGCGTATTTTAGTACTACTATTATTTCTACGACGATTGCCATTTTTTATTTTAACGTCTGAAGATTCCAGACATAATGAAGCAAAGTAAAACGGGGTGAATCTCAACAAATTTGTCATATTTCAGCCCTAAATCAAAATAAATAAACAAGAAATTATATTTAGAAGCGCATTTTAGGACTACTATTATTTCTACGACGATTGGCATTTTTGATTTTAACGTCTGAAGATTCCAGACATAATGAAGCAAAGTAAAACAGGGTAAATCTCAACAAATTTGTCACATTTCAGCCCTAAATCAAAAGAAATAAACAAGAAATTAAATTTAGAAGCGCATTTTAGGACTACTATTATTTCTACGACAAATTCTTAATCACAAAAAAATTGTAAATATTATTTAAATTGTACAATTTTAAGTACATAATGGCAGTATTTTTGTATTAAATTCTATTTATACTGATTGTAATATTACAAAAAATACTGTATTATTGTATTTAAATGGTTGTTAAAATAATGTGCTTAAAAATGGATTTTATTGTCCTTCTAAATATATTTCCTTTTCATTTTAGTGCGAAACATGACATTGTGAGATTGGCACAGCGTGAGACACGACAATCTACACGAATGAAAACTCAACACAAACCAGCTAAAGACTGTGATTTCATTCAGGGACGAACCAATAAATTAAGTGCTTTCCATCTAAAACCAAACAAAACATCCTTCAGAGAAACCGTAAACCAGCTGACGATGAAACGGAGTGACGAGGGGAAAAATACGGCCTGATTATTTCACAAAAGATGGAGCTAAACACAAAATACAGAAGCACGTAAACAAGTAATAGGAAATCATTATTAGCAGCCACAAAATCATCATTGAGCTGACTTCACTCGTTTAATCCAATTTTTAACACGTGAGAACGAGTCGTTAAAACGATAATACAGACCCCGACGGCCCCAATGCATCATGGGTAATTCAGAGCGAGAAACATTTCCAATCTCATTAAAATAATGACCTAAAGAAAAGTGACCTTTCGGAAGTTCGCTCACTTGTTAGTTTGTTCGTTAGTTTGTTCATTTATTCATTCGTTGGAGAAGAAGAAACTGCGTTAAAGGAACAGTTCAGCCAAAAATGAGTTTGTTTCTTCATCAGATCTGGAGAAATGTAGCATTGCATCAGTGTCTCTGCAGTGAATGGGTGCCATCAGAATGAGAGTCCAAACAGCTGATAAAAACATCACAATAATCCACAAGTAATCCACACCACTCCAGACCATCAGTTAACATCTGGAGAAGAAAAAAGAAAGATCTGTGCGGATTTCTCTCCTGATTCAGACTTTTTATAGGGTTATTATGGATTTTGGACTCGTATTTTAGTTAAAAACACCTTAATGATGGATTTGTTTCTTACAAATGCGCAGCTTTTGTCTTCTCAAGATTAATCGGAGTACTTATTGGATTACAAGATTACATGGATTACTTGTGGATTACTGTGATGTTTTTATCAGCTGTTTGGACTCTCATTCTGACGGCACCCATTCACTGCACTTCATTTCTCCAAACCTGATGAAGAATTTAAGCACATTTTAATTTCTTCCTGAATTCTTCCTTCAGTCTAAGCGCAGAATGGTGTAAATCAGGATGCATTGGCTCTGGTTTAGTATGAGGCTGAAAGTGCAGGAAGATGAAACCATATGTCAGGGGTCACTCGACGGCCTCCGCTGTGCTCTGTGGCTTGATCTTGAAGACGCAGATGTGCAGGTGAGACGCGATCTCGTTGCAGACGCTCACGCAGTAGCGCACCAGATCGAACAGGGACAGAATCTGGTTAAAACAAACAGCAAACGGCAGAATCTGGTCAAAATCCAAACGGCAAACGACGGAATCTGGTCAAAACAAACAACAAACGACGGAATCTGGTCAAAACAAACAACAAACGGCAAACGACGGAATCTGGTTCAAAACAAACGAAAAACGATAGAATCTGGTTAAAAACAAAAGGAAAACGACAGAATCTGGTCAAAACAAACGGAAAATGATATAATCCGGTCAAAATAAACGGAAAACGATAGAATCTGGTTCAAAACAAATGGAAAACGACAGAATCTGGTCAAAACAGACGGAATCTGGTCAAAACAAACGGCAAACGACGGAATCTGGTCAAAACAAACAACAAACGGCAAACGACGGAATCTGGTCAAAACAAACAACAAACGATGGAATCTGATCAAAACAAACAACAAACGGCAAACAACGGAATCTGGTCAAAACAAACAGCAGACGACGGAATCTGATCAAAACAAACAACAAACGATGGAATCTGATCAAAACAAACGGCAAACGACGGAATCTGGTCAAAACAAATAGAATCTGGTCAAAACAGACGGAATCTGGTCAAAACAAACAGCAAACGACAGTTATGAGCCGTAATATGTGACTTCAGCGCGAATCTGAGGTGACGTGATCTCACCAGAGAAATCCATAACACCAGATACTCGTCGATGAAGCTGTTGAAATACTGATCGAGAAACAGCAGGCCGGGACCCAGAAACGCCGCGTCGTGAAGATGCATGGAATCTGATCAAAACAAACAACAAACGACGGAATCTGATCAAAACAAACAACAAACGACAGAATCTGATCAAAACAAACAACAAACAGCAAACGACGGAATCTGGTCAAAACAAACAGCAAACGACAGTTATGAGCCGTAATATGTGACTTCAGCGCGAATCTGAGGTGACGTGATCTCACCAGAGAAATCCATAACACCAGATACTCGTCGATGAAGCTGTTGAAATACTGATCGAGAAACAGCAGGCCGGGACCCAGAAATGCCGCGTCGTGAAGATGCATCTCACTCTTCGTCATGTGAGCCACCTGACGAGACAAACAGCGGCTCAGACGCGCGTCAGAAACGAAGGCCGTATCGGCGAGCATCTTTACTCACCACTAGTTTATTGGTGATTTTGGCCGAAACGAAGCCGAAGGCCAGAATATACAGACAGGGGTGTTTCTGGAACAGCTGGACGGTTGATTTCTTATAAATCATCATGGCGAGGACGATAACAGAGCCGATGTGCAGAACGGGCGATAACACGCTCGTACCCTGAAACACACATGTATTTATAGTTGAGAAAGAGACAATATATAATATAATAACGTATGTCTATTATATACTGGAGGTGGCGTACGTACCGCTATAGTGGATCCGTTTTTGCCCACGCCGCCTGTAAATATGACCCTGAAGTAATTGATATATATATATATATTCATTTAGAATTTATTCATTAATAATTAACATTAATATACTTTTTAATGTGTAATTTACATGAAGCAATGCATTAATAATAATAATAATTTGACTGTTAAATTTATATATATAGAACTTACTGATAATTAAGTAACTTTATAAGTAATATAAATTTTATATATATATATAGAGAGAGAGAATTTATGTATATTAATTATAAATCACACAATAATATTATGCATAATTGACAATATATGTTTCATTAATATATTATTTTACAATATTATATAGAATTTATGTATATCATTATATTTACATTATGTAATGTATTAATATATTTTTTACAATACTAAATATATATAGAATTTATGTACATATGTTATATGTAATTTAAATTATTATACTTAATTATTTAATAATAATAAAATATTGAATTTATTTAATTAGATCTATTGTTTAAATGACAAATTACACATTATTCAAATTAAACTACAAAGCATTACATTAAAATAAAGCATTATTAAAAATGCAAACATATATTTTATAATATGTGTATAAATTATGCAGTATTATGTAAACAAATTTTTTTTTATAAATGTATCTATTTATATCGTAAGCATAATTATTTTTAAATACACATTGTTTACAAGACAAATGCATGAAAATAATGTTAAAATCTTATAATATTTGTTATCAGCTAATAACAGGCGTGTGATGAAGTGAAGAGAAGCGCTGAATGTTTGAGGCTGAAGCAGTTAATAATCACAGATGTGTGAGAGCTGGATTACCGGAGACTGCCAGAGAGCCGATCCGCCCACAGCAGCCAGCAGATACAGCAGCATTATGAAGATCTGCACTTCTGTCACATCAATGCTGATCAGAGCAGAGGAGAGATGCGCGTTAGACACAACACACACTCACACACACACACTCACTCACACACACACACACACTCACACACTCTCACACTCACACACACACACTCTCACACACACACACTCACACACTCACACTCACACACACTCACACACACACTCACACACACACTCTCACACACACTCACTCACTCACACACACACACACACACACACACTCTCACACTCTCACACACACACACACTCTCACACTCTCACACACACACACACTCTCACACTCTCACACACACACACACTCTCACACTCTCACACACACACACACTCTCACACTCTCACACACACACACACTCTCACACTCTCACACACACACACACTCTCACACTCTCACACACACACACACTCTCACACTCTCACACACACACACACTCTCACACTCTCACACACACACACACTCTCACACTCTCACACACACACACACTCTCACACTCTCACACACACACACACTCTCACACTCTCACACACACACACACTCTCACACTCTCACACACACACACACTCTCACACTCTCACACACACACACACTCTCACACTCTCACACACACACACACTCTCACACTCTCACACACACACACACTCTCACACTCTCACACACACACACACTCTCACACTCTCACACACACACACACTCTCACACTCTCACACACACACACACTCTCACACTCTCACACACACACACACTCTCACACTCTCACACACACACACACTCTCACACTCTCACACACACACACACTCTCACACTCTCACACACACACACACTCTCACACTCTCACACACACACACACTCTCACACTCTCACACACACACACACTCTCACACTCTCACACACACACACACACACACACTCTCTCACACTCTCTCACACACACACACACACACAGTGGTAAATGCGGCCGCACCTTTCTATTCAAATGAAGCGCTGAATGGATTTGATTAGAGTTGTTGGATACTCACATGCCGAAGCGCAGCGTGCCGGAGACATAGGTCTGCCAGTGAGCGCAGTAAAACATGAACATGCCGGAGAAACAGCAGAAGAACATCCAGTCGGGGTGAGAGCCCAGCTGCACTGCGATACTAATGCCCAGCACCACAAACACTGCAGCACACACAACACACAGCTGAGAATCACAAACAAGTGTGCTTACATACCAGTCTAGAGACATGTGCATTACTATCATCACCAACATACATTACTTTAAAAGATTGCATTATTTGTATCATGTATTATAAATGCAAATGCATATTTAAAATGTGCATACAGTATCTAATTTACATTATGCAATTATTAGTATATTATTTAAATGAAAAATGACTATTCATTTCATCATTTTAAACATAATTACATTAGTAAGTATTAGTAAATAAATGGGAAATAAAATATATTATAATTATAACTTACGTACATTATGTAGAATTTTTACATTAATAATAAATTATATATAGACTTTATAAATATAGTTTTTAAATGTATAAATTACGTTATGTAATGTACTATTAATTATGTATTATAATTATTCAATAAATGCTAAATAAATTATTTCAATTATTTATGCATATTATATCGAAGTTATACATTATTATTTAATCATTATTAATAAATTCTACACAAACTTTTAATATATAATTTATATATTAAACATAGCACATGTGTATATTTACATTACACATGTATACATTACATTTACATTATGTGATTTATTATTAACAAATTATTTTATAATATTAACTACATAGAGATTTTATGGGCATGTATTATAATTTATATGTAGTTTATTAATAATATACATATTTATGTACATCATATATAATTTAGGCAATTAAACAATAATAATAATCAATAATAAATTGTACATTAATATACTTGTTATTGTATTATACAATATTATACAATGTATTTTTTATATATTCTTGAATAATATTAAATATATAATTTATTTACATGCATTATATTTTACATTATATAATATTAAAGACATTTAAAATGTACGTATATAATTTGCATAAATGCAAATTATAATTTGCTAAATGCAATTTATTATTGGACTATTATATGACATAAATGCAAATATATATTTTATATGTATATGTAGCATTTCATACGTTTCTATAAATATACATTATAAATAACATAATATGCATTAAATTTATATTATTATTTGTGATATACCACAATATTTAAAAGGCAAAGTTTTGAAAATAATATAAGATTGTGTAAGCAAAAAAATGTCTAATATTAGACTCTGATCAAAGTAACAAAGCAACTTAAAAATGCGTAAAAACATCTCAACGTGAAAAAGAACACTTAAAACATACCGCGCAATAGCGGATCTCGTGTGACGCTCACCTGTGGAGAGCGAATCGCAGCCGTGGTCGAACAGCTCCCCCAGTGGTGAACTGCTGTTAGTGCGTCGCGCCTGTTTGCCATCGATAGCGTCCAGCGACTGATAGACGAACAGACCCACCGCGCACAGGAGATACGCCCAGAGAGGAGCCTAAACACACGCCAATAAATGAGTTTATCTCACGAACATACCTTTTTCACGACAGCACGATTGCGCGGATCTAGACATGTGCCGGTATTGCGAAATATCACGATAATGAACATGCACGATATTGTTATCGTGGGCACTTCGAAACACCGAGAATAATTATTTATTACAAATTATTTTGAATGCATTTTAAGAATACATTTCCCATCACAATGCACAAAACCGCTGTATGCCGCGTCAAATCTCATCTGATGTAAACAAGCACGGATGAGATTGCGCTGAATGAAAGCGCACTTTCACTCTCTGACAGCAGATGGCGCTAAACAGCAGAAATACAGCCGTTACCCCGGAAACCCTGTAAACAAAGCAGCTGCGCTACTTTCTGTTTCTGAAATGCATTTAAATTATTTAAACAGCCATTCAGCGCCAAATACTTTACTATTTAGACTTAATAGGCCATTTATTTTCAAACTTTTTAACATTTTAATCTGGACTACGACATGCCCTTGATATTGTTTGCAAGTGTTTTGATTCGTTATTGTTCGGTAGCACTTTACATTAGTTATAATGTAGGCTATATTAGTTGACATTAGTTAATTCATTAGTTAACATAAACTGCCAGTGAAAAATCCTTCTAAATATTCATTAATCTTAGGTAATTCCAATATTTAATAACACGTTGTTAAAATCAAAAATTGCAACTGTGTTATTTAATGAGCTAACGTGAACTAAGAGTTGTATTTTTTAACAAAGATTAATAACTTCTGTAGCTATTGCTCATTGTGAATGTTAATGCATTAACTAAGGTTAACTAATGAGGTCTTATTGTAAAGTGATACCTATTGGTCTTTATAATTCTTTTGCACTTTAATTTGTGTAAAATATTTAACTTTATACAATTTTTGTGCGTTGCTTTATTGTATTTAAATGTTCAGTTATTTCTGTTATTAAGAAAAAGTTACTAAACCTG